ACCTGTGTTGTCCCCTCACTAATCCAATAGAGCTAATATCTCCCTTCCCCAGGACCGAGAATCTAAAACAAGTAGGGTTAGGCGGTTGCTGAACTTAACCTGATCCACCCAGGCAGCTGTAGCTTTCTGCTTTCTGCTGTGAACTGCCTGGAGGAGTTAGCTGAAGGGTGGAGATTCTTATCAGAAGAGATGTATGTGGATATGGAGGTGGCTGAAAATGACCAAGGGGTGGGGTTCCCTGGGGAGCATTCATTTACACATGAGGTGGGGCCAGGTAACAGCTCTCCTCCCCTCTCAGGTTATCTCCGGTGTTCCCTCTTCCCCTTTCTGGAAGGTTATCTCCTCGATAAAGGTAGCAGGCTGGGGAGTAGGGCCCATGAAACAAGAGTCCCGAAAATATAGACCAGTGGGCAAGCACAAGTGTGTGTGTCTAACTGTATCAATATCCAAGTAAGATAGAAAGCAAGTTCTCAGAGTAATCAGGTGTTGAATAAGAGGTGGATAAATCAGAGAGAATGACTAGTTACATTATTTTTCTACATGTTTACAATCAACAGGCTTAAAGTCCAAGGAAACTTGTACCACAGGAGGAAAAGTACCATTCAAGTGTGAGCCCATAGTTCAGACACTCAGAAGTCACCTACGATGAGGGATAGCTTCATGGGGCTATTGTGAGAATTCCACAAAATGACAGCTGAATCAGTGTTTGTAAACTGTAAAGTGCCTTTAAACTGCAAGGTCCTACATAAACTGGAAAATACAAATGTAAGTAATAATGTTATGATTATTTGAGGAGAAAACATTATTCTGAATATAGCCTGTAACCTGCAAATTAGACAGTAATAAATTGTTTATTTTCCACAAACAACAGAATTTGCCTGTTGGATTGCATCTTCTCTTTCAAACCTGATAACCTTGATGGGTCTATACATTTATTTTAGAGAGAAACTATTCAAAAACAGATCTGAGACCCCTTTCTGGGATTTACTTCAGAACTAGTTTGTAAGCCACAGAACATTGTCTCATTAACTTAGAGTCACGTTGCATTTTGGACCGTATATATTATCTAGCTTAATCAATAGATTTGACTCCAAAAGAATTAATTTTTTTTTTTTTTTAAATCAAAATTTACTCCCTAAAAAGCAACGATTCTTAAACTTTTGTGTGTGTGTTGAGGGCCTGCCAAAATGCACAATACACAGTATAGTATGCATGGAAATACCTGGATTCCAGGTAAAGAATTTTTGATTTTCCAAGAGTTACAGGAATTCAAATAATGTACTACAGATCTGAAGGCAATTATGTTCTGAACATAAGCAGCAGCCTTGTAGGAATAAATAATCTCCCACAGGAATTGCTTTGAAGGAAACCATACCACTGTAGGAATGATGGTATGGTATCAGTGTTTAAAAAAGCATCCATTGTGGTCACCTGGGGTTTGCGTTGTCATTTCTGTAGCTGCAGTTTTTATTGTGTGTGCATGTGTGTATGTATGTGTCTGCTGTGTGTTTATTGCTAGTGGAATGGCTTGGCACACACAGGCCTTCTCAGATGTCCACCCTCAACTCAGTTTAGCTAATACAACTAAAAGGAGCCGTAACCCTAGGAAAAGGCATCGGATGGGCTGAAATTGCCCTAGAGGCTCCCCTGGTTGCAGGAGCAGGATTAAGACATGTTTGGCATTTGTTTGGCTGCTCCTGGAGGAGTCCTGGGAAAACGGGGTTTGGGACTTACACAGGTTTTCTATGTGACAGAGAGGGTTTCTTGTGATCTCACATGCCAACCACTGTTAGGAACAGACTCTATCAGCTTGTTTAATTCTTAAGACAACCTCCATGGAAAGGTAGCATTATTCTCATTTTACAGATGAGAAAATTGAGACACAGAAAAGTTAAACTACATAATCAATTAGCCAATAACTAGCAGAGCCTGGATTTAAACTCAGTTTGATTCCAAAACCCAGACTCTTTCCACTAGGCAACACTGTCTCCTGGCCTCTGTGAAATGATTCCTTAAGTCTCTCCCTCCCTGGAGGACCCCCGAATATGAAACCCATTTCATTTATTTCAGGAAAGGTGATGTTCCCAATGGCCCACCTGACACTTAGGGTTGAGACTCATTTGCTTCTATTACTAACTCCCTTTTTGGCCTTGCCAAACTCCTTAAGTTGCCTGGGCCTTGATGCAGCTAGATGCAACTTCCAGCTGTAAAACTCAGTGGCTGAATTCTGTGCACAAAGCCCAGTCCCGGCAGGTGGCGTGCCTCCTGTCCTGTGGGCTGTGCACAGCTTACCTCCAGGGTGCAGTCTTCTCTGAGCACCGGAGCTAGAAGCTTGCCCCACTGCAACAGCGTATGCTGCTTGTGGTCTATTTTACATCTTATTCATTCTCCTTCCATATCTTACCTGAACTCATCTGCATTCCTCATATATTTTATTTAACTCCTACACAGTATTCCAATTTATGAGTAAACCACAATATGTTTTAATTCCCCACGAGAGGTGGTTATATCCATTCTTTGTACAGCGCTGCAACCAATATTCTTTTACTTGGTTTCTTATGTACATGTGCAAGAGGTTCTCTAATGTCCAGAAATGGAATTGCTGAGTCATAGGGTTTATGCATGATTGCCAAACTGTTCCCTGAAATGGCAGTACCAACACACCCCCATTAGCAACGTGTAAGACTTCCTTCTGCTTCTCATATCCTCACCAATACCTATCAAGCTTATTTTTTTTCCCCAAACATTTTGGCTGCATTTGACTTAATGCCTTAGACTTTCTTCTTTATATTTACACATCTTCCCTACTGGGCAATAAACTTTGTGAGGGCCAAATCCTTGCTTAATTCATTTTTATATTCCTCTTGTAAAATTTATGGAGCTAAGTAAAATAAGGGGTTGTGAACAAATCAATAAAGGACAGAATTAATTTATCTTGGCCCGAGAAGATGACGAGTTCCATGTGGGCAGGGATGAGGCTTTCTACCTTTACTAATCTGGGGTGAAGACATAGGTAGGCAATCCCCAAAAACTGCAGAGGTGGTTGCACAGTGGTCAAAGCTGGCCTACACACAAGGCTTCAAGATTTGTAGAAGACTGCAACCAACCTTTCAGAGATCTTAGCTGCAGATAATTTTTATCAGAGTATTCACTGAATATTTATTGATGGTTGTGAATAGCCAATTTCCCAGTCTCTGGGGCTGTCTTTTTTAAGTAGCAAGAAGCCTGTTTCTGAATGGAACTTCCCCACCCCCAGCCCCACCCCATTACTAAGGGCTGGAGAGAATCCATAGGTCCTTCAGACCAGGGTGCTGCCTGACCTGTGGTAAATGCCTCTCCTTTTTGTCACTGCAGCATTTCCAGGCTGACTCATTTTCTAAATAAGCCACTTGTGGTTTTTGGTCTGACATCACATGTAGAAGAATGAGTAATTTTTTAAGAACCAGAATTATATTCTATCAGAATAAGAAACATTGTGTATGTTACTCATAGTTTTAGGACAAGGGGTCAACACTGGTCACAGATTTCCTAACTTTCTCCCACTCCTTCTTTCCCTGGGGCCAGGGGATGGAGAGAGAAGGTAAAGAAAAAAGGTGGATATGCTGTAAAATTTTGTGTGCACCTCTTATCACACTATGTAAAATGTAATACAATTGTCTTGTTGACTCTGCTAGATTAAATAAAAGTAATATGGCAAAGTAGCTCAGGCCATGAGTTCTGCTGCTGCACTGCTTAGGTTCAAATCCTAGCTCTACCACCTGCCCAGCTGAGTGACCCTGAGTGAGTTATTGACCTTGATGTGCCTCCATTTCTCATTTATAAAATAATAACAGCACCTACCATATAGGCTTATTATAAGGAATACATAAGTTGATGTGCATTAAGTATTTAGAATAGTGCCTGACTATGGAAGTGTCAGCAAATATTCCTATGAATTCATCACAATGTTTATGTTTATCATAAGTGCTCAAGAAATGTTTTGACTAAACAAATGACTTCTCTTAAAACATATTTGGAATCAGGGGATACAAGCAATGGCTAGTGGCAGATTCTTGGTTTGTGAAGGCGGTCAGAGTACGCCACCTCAAAATATGCCACTTTGTTGTTTATTCAGCTCAACAGTTTACACTGAGCTGAAGGCAACAGAACAACAGATACAGGAAAGGTTTTCTGACCGCCCCGTTCCTGTCTGAAGCAGGACTAAAACTTCTTGTTGGAAGGGTGCCTCTCCCCCAAAAGGAAGAAGGGAGCAAACATTCTTATCACCAGAGACAGGGAATTGACACTGAGATGAATCTCCACAGACAAAACCTTACTAAAATTTGTAACCCTTCTCTCCCATTAGTTTCTCCCATATATTTCCTACTTTCCCACAATTTACTGGCTGACTAGCTCAGACCCCTTTGTTTTGTCATATCGTCACAATTTATCATTCTTTATTTAAAATGGTATACAAGTTGTGGGCTTAACAGCTTGGGCCTTCATTTTCCTTATGAAGATTCCCATGTACACATAAAAATATTAAATAAAATATGTATACGTTTGTCCTGTTCATCTGTCTTATGCATGCTTAATTTTCAGGCCCAGCCACAGAAAGTAACAGGACATCTGCCTCCCCTACATCTGGAAATAGAAGGAACTCTAAAGGTCAATTGCCTTGCGCCCAGGTACCCCATGCTTTTGTTTGTTCTTTAGTTATGTGTGTTGTGGGAGGAGGGCTGTCACCTCCCAGGTGTCACTCAATGGGAAGTTCTATTTTGTTTTCTAAGTGTAAGAAGAGGGTACGGTTCTCAATCCTTGAACTGCGAAAACAGAGAATGAGTAAGAAAGGAGACCCTGGTATCGGAGAAATTCATTCTCTGACCTTGCAGCATCTACTGTCCATGAGGAGAAGTTAACAAGATAGTGGCATTTGGAGGAGTGTTATCTTGTTGAGTTAGCAGGATGGGTGTCACGTGTAGGAAATTATCTAGATACTTATTAACATTCAGATATTAACATTTTAACATATGGATTTTTTTTTTAATCAGTGCAGATGTAGTGTTTATCTTCACAGCATCTGTGGTCTTTGGGAAAATATACTTGAATATCAGGGAGTCATGAAGCAGCCAGAGTGAAATCCCTCAGAGCCCACCCTCAATTGCAGGCCTCTTTAGGATGGCTTTGTTGGGATCCGTGGGAGCCTGGTTATCAGAGCAGGTTGGTCCGGCCTCATTGGGACCACCATGTGGGCCTCAGCTGAGGAGCTTGATGACAGACCAGGCAAGTGAGTCTAAATTGACTCCTCCAAGAGCAAGGGTTCTGTGCTTATTTAAAAGGTTACAAAGTCCATAATATAGGTAGAAATGCTGAGTTGCTGAAGGAAGGCCAGTTGTCTTGGAGGAGAGAGATTCACTGGGGAGGTGTCAGGAGGCCCAGAAGTGGCATGTAAAGGACAGACACATTCTCAAACACTTGCAAACACATGTACACCTGCAGTCACACACACAAACTGACACAAACAGCTTCACACACCTAGATTCTTCACTCCCTACACTCAAGCACACACACACTTCATGGACACTCTCTCAGCCTAAAGGGTGGCCAAGGGGTCAAGACCTCATGGCTGAATCAAATGTTGGTGAATGCTGCTGCTTTTATTACACCAAAGGTCTTAACATTTATTAGGAGATGAACACAAAGCTTGGCATACTGCTGTCATAGTGGCATGCATTCTCCTCTATAGTGTAGCTCTGGAGTTCAAGGTTACTGCAGATTGCACATAAGAACCACTCTTCAGAGGGAAGAAAACGGGAAACTGCAGATCCTTGTTCTCCCGAATATCAGCAGACTCAAGGTGCTTCACCACCACAGCAGCCTAAGATCTTGTAAGTTGGGTGGGTGTGCTTTAAACAGTAACACAGGTATGACAAGGGATCCAGGATAGGGAAAGTTCCCAAAACTTAGGGCCAAGAGTACTTTTAGGGAAGTATACACTTCCCAAACAGGTATCACTGAATGGAGGCAGGGCATGCTTAGCACTGCAACTGAGCTAGGTTAAGCTGCCAGGAGTCCACGATTAATCCTGGTTTCACAGGGAAGAATAAGACATGATGGCGCTGTCACAATAAGGCCACTAAACTTATAGCAAACGATGACTTCAGAAGGAAGCTCTCGTGACTACAGGGAAGCAGCTCTTTCCTCTCTGATGCCAGGTACCCCTTGCTGGGTAGGCACCTGCCCTGAGACTGTCACATGGTCCTTTCTGGGCTGCATAACATCACTTAGCACAACAGAGCAGAGGAAGGGACCACACACATCAAGGTCATGGGACATCACCACCAAGCTGGCTGACTGTTGTTGGTGAATGTCTTAAATGCCTTTCCTGGTTGGGCCGGGTGCCCCGTGTGTCTGAAGAGCTAATCTGAAAAGAGGCTGGCAAAGGACTTCCTCAAGCTCCGGATGGTCTCCGCTTTGGCTTCATCCTCATTGGCTGAAGACCGGAAGAAGGAGGACTCAGAGAAGCTGAAGGCATTTGTCAGGGACTGCGACTTGCTTGAAGATAAAAACCAGAGAGAATGTGAGAGGGTGGTGTTCCCAGCAAGGCAGGGAAGGACGATGACGTGAGGATACACAACTAGAACCCCCACTCCCTCCCCGGGAAGACCAGGGTGATGGAGGATAAAGCCAGAAGTGGCCATGCTACCAAGACCCTGGGAGACCCCTACGCTACTTCCTCATCTTCAGTGCTACTAGAATAGAAAGGGTGGGGACAGTGTGGGAACAAGGGAGAAGGGAAAAAAAGAAATAAGGGAAAGAGGAGGAAGAGGTGACTCAAAGACTCCTTCTTTAATTTAATCCAAAATGCCTGAGGGCTAAATTTCAGAGATCCCAACTTGGTAAAAACTAACCTAGGAATCTCACATTACTTCTCTGATGAAAAGAAGTCACAATGGGCCTGTGACGCTGGCACTCTCTTCTCTATCAACTGTCAACTGGTGGAGCCAGATCAGAAGACCTGAGCCAAAGTCTCGTTCTGCCACTCAATCCCTCCTAACTGGAGGCAAGTCATGTGCCTCTCTGTGCCGAGGGTTCTCATCTGTGAAGTTTGGTAAAATGAAGATCTCTACGCACTTTTGGCTCTTTCTATTCTGATCTCTTCTCTGATTCCAAAAGAATATACTGGCTTGGCCCAAAACTCCAATGCTTCAATTTCCCTATTCTTTGCTTGTTTGTTTGTTTGTTTGTTTTGAGACAGAATCTCTCTCTGTTGTAAAGGCTGGAGTGCAGTAGTACAATCTTGGCTCACTGCAACCTCCGCCTCCTGGGTTCAAGCAATTCTACCGCCTCAGCCTCCCGAGTAGCTGGGATTACAGATGCTTGCCACCATGCCCAGCTAATTTTTGTATTTTTAGTAAAGATGGGTTTTCACTTGGCCAGGCTGGTCTTGAACTCCTGACCTCATGATCCACCAGCCTCTGCCTCCCAAAGTGCTGGGATTACAGGCATGAGCCACCACACCTGGCAATTTCCCTGTTCTTAAAATGGATGTAGTAACCACCCTTGCAACCCTCCTCAGAGGAGCGCTAATATGAGGTCTGTGGGGTTCAGGGTGTCCAGTGGCAAAAGAGATATATATCAGGCCTTTACAAGTTTCTTAGGGAGATTTCTAATGAGAAAATCCAAACTACACACTTTTTAGGGGCCTGTTTTCCCCTTGAGAGACTAGAGGTTCACAGAGAAAAACCATGAAGCACAAGGCCATGGGGAGGCCCAGCCTGCACTCCAGGAGAGGACATGAGATCTGGCTTCTCCACTGGCCCAGCTTTTCTCCTTCTTGACTCCCACTGGCTCTCGTTCCGGCTGCTTTCTGGCTCTAGAACTCTTCTCCTGGTGTCTTGGGACTCTCTGCCCTCCCTTAAATGCTGGGTGCAGCTCAGGAGAAACTCCCTTCTACAGAACTATAAGCAGTCTCTCTCTGCCTGCAGTGACAGTGAACAGACACCCTGCCTTTCATTAGGGCTGGGAATGAGACCCAACACGCTGGCCTCTGGGAGCAGGGGCACTCCTCAGCCCACACAGGCAGAGAGTACTGGGGATGAGCCTCCAGCTTGTCATCAGAGGCTGGCTCTATTCAACAGCTTCAGCCCAGAGGCAGTGACAATCCAAGGATCTGCCCTCACGCGGAGGCAGAGTTGGCTACTGAGAAGGCAGGAGGGATTAAAAAAAAGTCAGCAGGCAGTAAATAGCTGGGCTGAAGGGACATTATGGGGCAGGCAAGAGGCAAGAGGTGCCACTGGCCAGAGCTGGGGAGGAAGAGTGGGTGATGCCCCTCCCATCACGCTGGACTGAAGACCCAGAGAAAGTGACCATCTGGACACCCGAGCCCCGCAATCTTGGCTCTGCCACTAATTAGAGGAGTAGCTTGGCTTTGAGAAAAAACAAAACAAAACAAATTTCTTTGAGCAAAGTTTTCTCATCTGCAATGACTACATGATCTCCTAGTGGCTCATTTCAACTCCAGAATTCTCCAGCCTCCTTTTCTCCCTCCCTGAAGAGTCATTTGTTGCCCATCACTTCACTCCGAGAAGCAGGGGTGTGTCACTACCATCCCCTTACCAAACCCTTAAGGCTACAGCTGTCTGTGCTGAAGGTGGTGACAGAAGTCTGCTGGGGACACTGCAAGCAATCAGAGACCTCTGTGGGAGAGAGGGCAGAACTGACCATCGTCCACATCCAGGTGCTGTCCCTTCCAAGGACAGCTCTGCTGCTTCCAGGGGTCCTGTGCAGCAGGGCAGTGTGGAGGGGCTTCTAGGGTGACTGCTGGGTGTGAGGGAACCCAAGAGGATGGAGGTCCTCAGCGTCTCTGCCTGGGAACTCCTCTGCTGCCCACACCAGAAACTGACCTCCTTTGGACAGAGCTGAAGGTAAAATGTTGAAATGGATTTAACCAATTCCCTCTTTTCATTCTGGGCAGCCTTACTGATTGCATACTCTGAACTGTGAGTCAGAGGCAGAAAGATTAAAAAAATTTTTTTTTACAAGGAAACAAACACACAAAAAGAAAAGGAATGGAAAAAAAGAGTGGGAGACAGGGTTTAAAATAAACCAAAACCTTAAGCTAGTACAAGACTAGAGAAGGGACAGTGACTCTGCCATATTGCCACTTCCCAGGAAGAAAGGGAAGGGGGTTGAATTTCTAGCTAAACTTTAGACTTTCACTTCCCTCTTTCCTCTCTTCTCCAGTGAACGCTAACCATTCCTCTAACCAAACACACACACACACAAACCAAAAACCAAAAAAAAAAAAAAAAAAAAAAAAAAAAAGCCAAAAAAAATCCCACCACAAAATATCTGTAGGAGGAGACCTCATTGAAGGTGATTTCTAGCAGCTCTGGGGCCCAAGGCCCACAAGGAGGGCGGGAGGAGGGGAGGGAGGAGCTGCTGAGTTGTCTCTTACTTGAGCTGTGGGTGAGGCTGGGGCTTCTGTGGTGGAGCAGCCAGGGGTGGCTGGGCCTCTGCCAGGGAGCTGCTGCTGGAGGGTGCATCTCCGTGGGTGGTGGGGCCGCCCGGCCGCTGAGGAGCCGAGGAGAAGGAAGAGGAGGAGGAAGAGGAGGAAGGTGGCAGTGATGGTCCAGGGGGGAGCCGGCGTGGAGGCAGCACCTTGCCTGGGGGCTGCATTCCTTGGGGTTGCCCAGGGCCCCCTAGGTTCAGTACAAGAAAAACTTCATAATTTAACCATATAAAAATGTTTCCTTATTAGAATCTACATCTCAAAGGGTGTGGTTAGTTAATTACCAAAAGGATAAGCTCTATGCCAAGAAGCCAGAGTCTCTGAAGGGCCCCAAAGGGGGTCCTTGGTTAGCTATCCTTGTACATAGCTACTAAGTGCTCCTCCTCAGAAACGCAGCAACTCAGCCACAGCAGAAGTCAGCAGGACAAGGAGGAACCAGGGGCGAGTGACCCTGTCAGAGGTACACGCTCTCACAGAGGACCCTAGAATGCAGGGTGCTCACCCCTCCTCCCTAGAGGTGCCTCAGGCACACACCACCCTGCTCCAGGGTTTACTGGGAAGTCTCAAGTTCCACATGGCAGATACAGGAGAGGGCGGTGGAGAGAGCACTGGATCTCAGAAATAGTCTACCAGTGACTCCCTGAGCAAGTCACCAAACTTCCCTGGGCCTTGGTTTTCCCAACAATAAAACTTTAAAAAGTGTAAACCCCGGTCTTAGTTGTCTTTTGAGGGGTAGTGGTACAAAGATAACAGGGTCGAGCAAGTTCTTCAAAAAGCATTCCATACTTTAAGATCACCTTGATGGTCACTGACTTATGTTGTTTTATGGAGCTGCCCTTGGTCCTGCTCCAAGCCTGCGTGGGTCTGATTGCCAGGCCCACCATGCCCCACCAGGGCTTAATTTTAGCATTAACTCATGCCCACAACCAGGAGAAATCCATTATTCCAGGCACTGTTTTGTCTCTCAGTACTATCCTCAGGGGCTCTAGCAGGATGAACCTGTCAGGCATGTGTGGTAGAACTCTCCAGACATCCAAACCCCACTCTCCCCTGGGGATGTTGTGGGTGCCATTTGGCAAATAAAAGCCCCCCTAAAAAGGAACAGCACACCCTCCTCCCAGCACGAAACACAAAACCATCTGGTGGCCTGGAGAGGAAAAAGGTCCTCCTTCCTCTGGGAGTTGATAGGCATTAAGGTGGTACCAGACTGCCTAGAGTTTGCTGAGGAGGGTCCCAACACTTAGAAATCAAAAGCCATCCCCATTAGCACCTACTCACTAGTGGAAATGATGCCCAACTGCCCTGGGAGGTCCAGTCTCTCAGCCTCAATCCCACAGTTCACATCCAGGGGCCTGCTGGAGGGAGTGACTTACAGAAACTCAGCACCAGCTAGTTGTATTATCACTTAGTTTTTAAGAAATACCAGAATATCTGCACCCTCTGGAGAGGCATAACTGTATGTCTATGCGACTGTGCACCCATGACTATCCGCTCAGTTCCCCACTACAGGGCACAGAATACCCTTTATCATCTAACCAAATAATACCAGAGTTAGTTACAGATAAATAAACACATCCATAAGTAAATGGAATTCTGCAGGCTTACGAAGCTCCAGATTCAAATCAAATAACTAGTGAAGACAATAGATTAGCAGATTATTTCACATTAACCAGCTTTTGCCATTTCCAAAGTTTGGCATCACTTGTATTAGCATTTTCCTGTAAGGTAATACAGGTTAATAGCTCAGTCTCTTGCACCAGAAACCTGAGTGCTTTCCCATTTGTGCAGATACTTGGATAGCCAGAAACTTTACAACTTAACACTGAAGACAGATATAACTTTTCCTTTATTGCACATTAAGCTGTACAAGAGTCACAAAAGAGAGGTACTTCAATCACACTTCCAGCATTGGCTGAGGTTCTCCCAGTTGGATCAGTACAAAAAAAGGGGACGTCAGGAAAGAAATAGGTACAAAACACCTGAACGGCAATCCTATACTGTGACACAGATGTCCCCCAGGCCACAGAGTTGTCCCTAAGCATGCTGCCTGAGGGCACATAACAGTCAGGTTATGCTATCTGCTTGCATTTGGCAGTGGGAGCCCTAACCAATTTCTCCCCTACCTGAAAGACCTTGGCTGACACCACCCTGTAGCCTGACTGAATTCATATGGCAACTTTGTAATTGTGGCTCACAAATGACACATGAAAAGCACCAGATGTACACACTCATAACATGCAGAGAAGCAGTACCACCATCAGCTCATCACTTGGACAAAAATATAAGATAAAATAAAATAATGTATTCCTCCATTCTGGGAAATGTTACTTTATTCTTTTCTATCATTTCATCAGATTGGGAGGTATTTAAGGACTTGATTCTTATGCAACCCATCTGGAAGTGCAAATATGCATATATGTGTATATTTACAACAGATCAACTACCATCATCAGCTGAGGGAGGGATTACAGATGACAACATTCACACTCAATGCATTTCTCTGTGGCCTCAATTTACCAGCAATCAAAGGAAAACCAAGGCACAAGCCCCTAGACATATAACTCTTGTTACAAACCACCAACACTAGTTCCTTCTCAGATCTGGGAGTACAGAATGGTGACATGTCAATATAGAGGTGGAAGGGAATGTAAAAGTAGGGCCAGCAGCATTTCTTCTCAAAGGCAAGCTGCTGGCATGAACTCCCACGGACCACGGTGTTAGAGGCGGCTGCTTGGTGCCCGTTCCCAGCCTGGCCAGGAGATGGCAAGATGAGGCACTGAAGCTGAGACCTGGTTTAATGAACTGTCTCAGCATCTGCTCAGGTGCTGCTTGTCAGAGGGAAGAGAACAAACTGGTGAGGGTTCCTCAAGAGCCACCACTATGGAGCCTCTGTCCAAAACACACACAAGCTAAATCTGAGATAGTTCCTCCCAGGAAAGAGAAAGCTCCTCAATCTCTGAACTCTGGAGGGCTCTGGTAAACAGCTGAGAACTGAAGCAGGAGTCAACCTCAGGGTTCTGGAGGCAGTGTACCCACTCAAGTAACATGGGACATTTTTGATTTGGTCTCCCATTACGATGCCTCAGGAGAGGCCAAGAGCAGAATGGACAAATCCCTGACAGACCTTAAGTAGCTCCCTGCATTCTATGTCCAACATTGCCAAGGAATTATCTCTGTACACAGGTCAAGCTTTGGGAACACAAAGCAGCCTCAGGTCCACACAAGCGCACACATGGCTGATCCAGAAACAGCAACAATGAAGAAACAACTGAGATTAACACACACAAAATACTCACAGGTTCACTTTGATATTGCACATCAGCGGCCCCATTTTATAAAAATCTCATAGCTAATTAGTTAATAATAAAATGAAGGGTACACTGGAATGTAAAATACAGAACACATTCCTGGAAATTTCTTTGTATTTCATGTCATCACTAAAAACACAAGAGCTCTACAGGCACAGCCAGCCTATTCACATAAACTCAAACTGCACCAAATTTTAGCAAACAGAGAAAAAGGTGGATGCCTTCAAATTCAGTGGATGAAGCTATGGCAGTTTGATCTTGAAAATCTCTTAATGTTCTATCTAAGTTACAATAGTCATGCAGAAAGAAAGCGAAAAGCACAGTTCATTAAAGATCCCAAGCACACTGGTGGAGGTAAAGTTGGGGGTGGGGGATTTAATCTGAGCTTGGGGGGAGAAGGAGAGGAGCTGCGTTTTCTTTTTGTGGTTTCCATTTCTCCCCTGTCCACCCCCCTACTCCCATTTCACCCCACATTATATATTACTTTTAAAAACACTATTAAACCACCCAGAAGATAGAGTCACACTGGACTTGGGAGAGGCACAATTCTTTTGTACACTGTTGACAAACAGCCCTGGAATCACAAGTTATACAGAGAAAACATAAGTGAGCATTACAAGCACGAACAGGAACAGGTAAACAACCAGACAGAGGAGCTGACACTGCATAGGAAAAACACAGTCCAGTCAGCATTGAAAGAACGCAGCAACGGCACCAGTGGGAGGGTCTGTTTTCCCCTCCCCGCTTTCCTTTCTTTTGTTTTTGGCTTAAAATTTCTGCTTTGAAAAATTAACTACCAATCATTTTAAGAAGCTTGGACTTGTTTTGGCCCTACTGCAATGCCATTACAGTCGAGAATATACTGTAAACAACCTTGAGGGGGTGGCCGCTGAGGTGGGGTCTTGCTTGAGTCCGGATCCTTAAGTGTTCCGCTCTGGAAGACAAAAATGCAAGAGATAAAAACAAAACTCCAAGCCACTGAATTCCAAAGAGAAACCACATGGCTCCATGGCAAGGCCAGAGTGGAATCCAGTGGGACCTGGTGGGATCCAGTGGGATCTGGCCATAGGCTTCTGCTGCTCCAGAAACACCTTAAAGGGGATCCTCAGCCTCAGGTATTGCTGGGACAGTGTGGGGAGTCTGGGGCTTGGAGCCACTCTGGTAACAATGCCTGAGACCTCTTCAACCACTTTTTCATTTTCCTCCATTTAGACTCATTCTTTCTAGAAGCTTTGCATCCTCTAGCACCACCTGGTTTCTTCTCTGGTTTTCTGGTGCCTGCCCATGTCCAGCTCCCACTCCTACGTATAGGCCTGGCTTTCTAAAGGAAAGGGAGGGCCAATGCCAAACCCCAGAGACAGGGTTGAACTATAGGTGGCTCTAGGGGCAGGTGAGCAGGAAGGCAGGGGGAGGAGTGTATGTGTGCGCATGCCCGCGCCCAGCTGGACCTAGTGACTAGCCTAGGCTTGGCTCACTTCTCATCTGGAGTTAACTCCGGAGTGGGATCAGTTCTGGGGCTGACTCAGAGAATCAGATCCACTCTTTGGACTCGGCTGAGAACTCCCGAAGGGAGGAACTTGAAGAAAGGGGTTGTCATTTGTTTCCCAGGGCCCTCCTTACCTTAGAGGGAAGGAATAAGACATTAATGTTTGTAACAGCGCGCAAGGCCAGGCTGTTTTTCCCTCCCAAACAGCATGATTACACTTTACCCAACAGCATGGCTCCGATCCCATGCTCCCTCTCCCAGCCGTGATTCTGATTATGCCCTGACAGGATCAAAGACCTGTGCGAGTTAGTTTGTCTAACGTTTGTATTAGAGGCAGTGAATGTTTGGAGTCTGAGTTCAGCACAAGGGAAATGCTCTGTGAAGCCTAAAGCCTGCCAAGTGTGCTGATGGTGATGTCAATGAGGGGCTTCCAAGGTAAGGCGGTGGCTGAAAACAAGCATGTCCTCAGTGAGCACCCACTTCCCCTTTAGTGCTCCTCTCCCCTTTTGACGTGCCCCTCAGCCCTACTCCCACATTAAAGCTGCTTCTCCTCCTATTCCCCATTTCCCTTGGGCATCCCATTCTGGCTATTTATCTCCCTGCCTATTATGGCCTGTTTTCAGCTCCACTGTCAGGGAAGTGTTACCTTCTCAGTATCACAGCCTTTTAATCGCATTACTCGGAACTGTTCTACTGAGAGGATTTGGGATCGTAACCAGGAGGGGGCCTTTGAAATGTCCTCAGTGCCACCACATCAGAGAGTGCCCATTCTACCATAACCCCCAATCCCCCACAAGTCACAGTGAGAACACTACTTCCTTTCTCCTCTTCTGGGGACCTTCTTGGGATCCATAAGGCACAGTCTGAGCCTGACACTGCAATACCCACACCTGGGAAACCAGCTGGAAACCACTCCATCCCAAGCGACTCTGTCCCTTCAGGACTCCTCCACTTTTCCCTCCTGGTGTCTGAGTCACCATCTTCCCTTGACTAACTTTAGTCAGGCCTTTATCATTTCTTGCTAGATGAGACTCCTAATTCTTTCATCTCTTTCTTTCCAATCTGTCTTCTCTGGGGCTACCTATTATCCTCCTAAACCTTTTTTTCTAGTTGTGTCTCTTAACTTCTCTAAATCATCTAGAGCTGAAATTTATGGAGTTCTTACTGTGTTCCAAGTAACATGGGTGCACTATTGTGCACTCTCTGTACCTCACTGTATGAGGTAGACACTATTTCATCAGCACTCCTGATTGCTTCAGAATGGCTGGGCTCACCCTTTCTAGCCTTCTCCCTCCTTTATGTCATAAACAGCTGCTCAGTCCAGGCCTGATTCTCTGCTGTTCATTCGCTAGTCTGGCCCATGCCTTCAACATCACAGCCTCTCATGGTCAGAGACAGATACTTAGGTGAAGGACAGAAAAAGTCAGTTTGTGAAGCTGCTGGACTGGCTCTTGCTGGTCCCTCCCCTCGGGCCTCACGTCTGGTGCCACTGAAGGGTCCCAGTGCATCATCTCAAATGCTGGCCAAGAGCAGCTGACGATGTTCTCCTCCCAGAGAGGGTTACAGAAAACTATGTGGCATGAGAGCAGAACCAGGGCCAGTGGGCAAAAAAGGTCGAGGCAGACTTTCACTTACAAGCAGAACTTTCTTTTGCAAAAACAGTGAGATAGGCTGTTTTGGGAGGTAGATGTATGTGTTCACATAGTGGGTAGTGAATGACCTGACAAAGACATCATAGATAATATTCCTTCTTTAAATATGAGATTGACTGGATGAATGCTAAGGTTCCTTCCAATCCTGTGAAACTGTGATTCCAAGAAAACATTTTAAATCCCATAGATTAAGCTTTAATGGTAGAACTCCAGACACAGGATGAGCTCACAGGGGTGATCATACCATGCGGGCTAGCCTTGTCTTTCCTCAGCCATGGAACTATACATGTAAGACACCCACAAATGAACTAAGCCCAGAAGTGCCCTTCTCCAGGCTTCAGAGGAAGAGCTCCCGGAGGCAGTCCTTTGGGTTGGAGCCTGGGAATATGCTTTGGCCACACTTGATGGCACCTAGGAAGCTTCTCTTGGCCCCGGCTCCACTGAGATTGTATATGGAAGACTTCTCAGGGGCTACAGGAGGTGGGGAGGAGAGTTCCCAAGGACTGTCCCTTGCCAGGCTGAGACTCCCTGGCTCCACCCACAAGCCTGCTGTCAGCTAGGGTCTCCGGGCCTATTCCCTGTGGGGCCTGGCTACCATGGGATCTGTTTCCAGTCACCCAGAGCATCCTGGGATGCTGAATTCCACAGAAGTCTGGCCACTCTGGCGTCACTGCCAAAGTCTGGCGTGGAGCCAGCCCACAGCAGCAGAAACTCATGGCCAGACTGAGAGGCAGAATTTTGCTCAGGAAGTTGGATTGATTCAAACAGGTAAGAATGTGAAGTTCAGTGCTTGTGCCTAGCTGTACACAAAATGGAAGGGGAATAAATGACCTTATAGTAGCATAAGAAAAAACCCAGCTGGGCGCAGCTCATGCCTGTAATCTCAACACTGTGGGAGGCTGAGATGCATGGATCACTTGAGCCTAGGAGTTCGAGACCAGCCTGGATAACATGATGAAATGCTGTCTCTGCAAAAAATACAAAAATTAGGTGGGTATGGTGGCATGTGCTTATAGTCCCAGCTACCCAGAAGGCTGAGGCAAGAGGATAGCTTGAGCCTGGGAGGTGGATGCTGCAGTGAGCCAGGATCACGCCACTGCATTCCAGCTTAGGCAACAGAGTGAGACCCTGTCTCAAAAAATATATATAAATAAATAAACCGCAGACAACCTTGGGTTTACAGAGTGACAACAGGCTCAGAGGGTGTCAGACTGTAATGATGCTGCCAAAAATCGGATGCAGCTGGAGGTATGTCTGTGTCTTGACAAGGGGAAGTGATAGGACCACTGTTCTTTTGGCTGATCAAGCCTCATGAGAGTGCACTGCAACCAGTTCTGGTCACCTCTTAAGGGGGATGCTAGCAGAAAAACATGGGTACATGGAGCAGATAGGATGGTGAGCAGTCTCAAAATGACATCTTTATGCATGTGACTTTGGGCAAGTTACCCTGAGTCACAGTTTCCCAAACGGTATAAATGAGGTAACCATGGAAGCACTGGAAGACTGAAATTAGTCAAATGTATATCTGAATAGTGTCAAGGGCTGGCTTGGGTAGTAGTGAGCTTCCTGGCATGAGAGGTATTTCAGCAGTGCTTGGACAAACTCTGGTCAGAGGGGCTCACATAGCTGCAGGCACATGACTTCTACAGGCCCTTCTAGCTCTGGGCTTCCATGAATTCGTTTATGCATTTTTTTCCCCCAGTTCTTCAGGTGTGTGAGAACTGAGACAAGCCTTTCTTAGCTACAGAGTTCAAGACCAGCCTGGACTAGCTACAGTCTTGAACTCAGCAAGACCTAGGGTTATTGGGCCTGTGCAGAGATGTCCTGCAGGTATAGGCTTTCAGGGGCTTGGCAAAGAGAGTGTGCTGCTTCTATCAAAGCTAACTGGGCTGGTATCCTGCTATGCTGAATCCACTAGGCTTAGTGATTAGAGAAGCCAGGGAGGAAGGAGAGAGCTGGTGAAGCTCAGAGACTTCTCCAGGTTGGTAGGTCCACCACTTGTTAAGGGAGGAATGCAAGGGTTTTCCTTACATAGAGATACAGAGTCACAAATGCCCAGCTCACTCCATTCTTACCTTCCCCTCTGTTGATGTCAGAGCACCAAAAGGGCCGGGTGCACGGTATTGTGAACTCCCTGAACTGGGGCCCAGAAGATCCAGCTCTCCTGCTTAGCAGCTGTGTGACCTTGGGCAAGTCAGTTGCCTTCTCTTTGCTGATATGTGAAACAAAGATACACTTGCCAGCCCAAGACATCTTAAATAAGCATTGTTAGGCTTAAACTAAAGAGTGTGCTTTGTAAACTGTAAAGTGTTAGACAATGTAACTGAGCATCCTACTATTATTATTTAATAAATATAAATCCAAAGGAAGGGAGGTCTAATGTTAGAATCAGTGAAGAAGATATTGTTTTGTGGTTTCCTGTCACCTGATGCATAGTTTCATGAATAGGGAATTCTGGTCTGGGTTATACCATGCCTTCTGTATATTGCTTAGTTCCAGCAAGGTCCCTGCAAAAATGGTAAATATTAGCTCTTGAGATGATTGGAAAGGAAATCACTGGCCTGAGACAGAAACCAAGCCCATGGATGAGGGTTTGCGGGTTTTTGTCAAAGGCAACTTTAAAATGCCATCTCGTGGCTTTCGACAGACAAGCTGGAGAAAGGAGCTCCTGAAGTCCCAGCAGGATGGAAAGCTGAGGAAGGAAAGACATTGAGTGACTCAACACTTGTGAGCTGTTGGCCTGAGACCAGCTGCTCCAACCAAGGAGGAAGGCCTGTGCTTGCTCAGCATATCTGA